GGCAACACTACGATATTTAGCAACAGGGAAAATGCAACTGTGCAATGCCGACGATTTAGGAATATCGCAACCATCAGTCAGCTGTGCCATAAACCAAACCATCAACGCGCTCTCTAGACCACATATCATCCAACAGTTTATCCGGTTTCCTTTGGACAATCAACAACTACACAGGATCAAAGCCAACTTCATGGCAATTGCAGGTATGCCCGGTGCGGTCGGTGCTATTGACGGGACGCACATAAAAATAATTGCGCCCTCAGAAGATGAGGACGTGTTCGTCAATAGAAAGAAAGTACATTCCATCAACACGCAGATTGTTTTCATTCATCATGATAGGGGGACTTGAACGGCGGTATGGGCTGTTATTGAAAGTGTTTAAGTGCTGGAAATATGCTCATTGGATAATAGTTTGCGGGGTGCTTTTAATTGCCTCCTTGATTTAATGCAATTTACGTATTTTTATTGTTTGCTCTCTCTCTTTAACGTGCATAAACAACGTCATTATCGTGGTCTGCACAAACTTTTCATCATGCGTGTATTCTGCTAACTGCACTGTCCATAACTATTTGATAGGAATACATTTCTAGCCTAGGCTATTTCCTTTTGTTTTAGTGGGCTCGTTTGTGGGATGTTGCGGATGAGTTTCACTGAGACCGCCTGCTCTGAACAACCAATCACCGTACTGACCGCTTCTAAACTCATGCACGAGAATCGACGTAATCCATAGCAACGGCGCGTCACTCTTAGTTCACTCTTAGTGATTTATCCTTAGTATGAGTAGGTCTCAGCGGCTTTGTGAATAACTTTTAAGAAAAAACTCCTACGTAAAATGTTTTAGCGCGAGTTAGGAGCACTCCTAGCGGTAAGATAAAATGCTTTGTGAATACGGCCCCAGATTTCCATAACCTAAATAAATAACCACGATGATTTACAGTAAGCAATCCACTGAGAGAACGGCTAAGAAGATCCTTATCTTGATCACCCAACCCATTGTTTTGGCAGGCTAAGGCCAACTTCACTGATTGACAGCGTAACACTGCTAACAAATACCTAAACAGCAAGGCAGAATTAGGCTGAGTAACATAAGCTTCATATTAAACCAACTAGTCATGGCCAGAAAGGAACCTTCATTATGTCTGACGGGAACACTGCAAGGTGACAGTATCAGCTTCAGTTTAGGTCTGGCGACACATTTGGATTTAGTATTAGCCTAACTTTGGGTCCTAATCTGGTCCGAGCACCAGAGAGAGAGAGAGAGAGAGAGAGAGAAAGTGATGGAGAGAGCATTCCAGAGAACAGAGGGTTCCTGTATTGTGCTGGCCTGAGGCCCGATGTGCCTGTCCTCACCTCTCTGCTCAACCAGCCCAGTGTGTGTACGTGTGTTAAAGTCAGCTTTGACCCCATCGCCATAGCAATGTGACCTCATACCTGTAGTAAATCCTATCTAAAGGTCAGTGCAAAAGCACCAGGGGGTTTACATACTATCTATAGGTATATTTGAACTATTGACATGAACCACATGCACTTGCAGCTAATTACTTAAAATGAGTTTCCAGCTGCTGTGCTGGTAGAGCAATATTAAGAAAAAAATGGAACTCCCTCTATAATTCAGTAAGGTTATTTATTAAGCTAGGCTAAAGTCAAGTCTTAACCTGTGAGTAACATATCAGCCCCTAATAGTTTTGCCGCTATTCAACATAAGAGAAACCCCACCCTTTTAGATTAAACTCTTCCCAGGCACAGTCCTCATGATATGGCATGCAGAAGCACTATACAACACTACACTGGAACAAATACACATTTTCCACAGAATAGACTTTGATGGGAAAATGTTAACACTTTCAGGCAAACAACAGCACAATGCTTAACAGGTTTGTCGTGTGACGAACCCGGGTTAAGAGATATTCTGGGAGTAGTTAGAGTTGAACGTTTTGAAAAGGGCAAGCCTCGGCTCATAGACAAGCTTACCTCCCTATTTCAGAGAAGCGTATGTTTTCTGATAACCAGTGGTCTAAAGTTGGTAAGTACATGCATTGAAATACTCTTAAGTACAATTTTGAGAGATTTGTACTTTACTGAAGTATTTACATTTTGTTCTACTTTGTACTTCTACTCCACTACAATTCAGAGTTAAAAAGTGTAATTTTCTAACACTTAAATCAGACTTTAGTTCCACCTGGAGTAAATTCACAAGCTACCCTGCAGTATACAAAGTCCTTCAAACTAGCTGCACCTTTACCAGCTTTGAGAACACTTTCATGATCAATCATTATAAAACATATCATATATATTATTCTGAAATGGACCAATCTGCACAATGACTACTTTTACTATTGTGATGCCAATACTTTTGTACTTTTTACTTAGGTAACATTTTGCATGCAGGACTTTTACTTTTAACAGAGTCTGTATTCACTCTGGTACTTTTACTTAAGTACAACATCTGAGTACTTCTCCCACCTCTGTTGATAACCAGAAAACATTTTATTATTTGTAGCTTCTGCTTGTCCTGGCACAGACTTTATACATCAGGCAGGAATTGGTTACTTTTTTCAAGAAAACTAGCATACCACGATAGCAACGTAACTGTAGTAGGTGTACAGAAAGTGTGGCGAAACGTAACGTTATGACAATTAACATTAGCCAAGGCTACGTTATTAAAATTGTCCGTTAACTTCACTTTAACCTAGGAAGGATAAACGCTGTTGTTATAATTCTGAAAAATTAAATGTAAAGTTATTTGGTATAACATTATAAATGAAGGTTACTTATTGTGTTTGACAGGGCGTTGTGGCTGCTAGTTAAGCGAGCAACGTAAAATGAGTGTTTTGGTTAGCCAGTTTCACTATCAGAGTACCCCAGAAGTAGCTGAGACATGGGCTAATAAAAAGCTTCATTTTCTGTAGAAATGTAGTTTATTTAGTTGGTACTATCCTTTGTCATCAGTTTAGAGACTAAACACTCTAAAAATAATAACTTTATTTAGTAAGTGGCTGGTTTATATTATTTAACTTTATCGTGCTAATGTTAGCAGCTAACTAGCTAGCCTGCTGCTTCCTGCAGCACCTGTTGATAACAAAGCCGCCTCAGACAGAAAACACTGCAATACTCACTGTGTTTCTGAGCCGTCCACGTTCTTCTTTAGCTGCTATATCCAAAGGGGAAGTCGTTAAAAATTGTTAGTTTTTATTGCAACCTTCGTTAGTTCGGGTTTTATTGTTCTGCACCACAGTTTCACTCTAACATACTGGTTGCTTGTTGTGCTGCAGCGATAGTACCTTCTCTCCTCCTTCTCACTGTCATTCCCAACTCCAAAAGGGGGAGGAGACAACATTCCAACTACGTAAAACAATGATGCTGATTGGACACAGCGATGAGAGGAATATTGTCTAAACCAATCAAACACGTTGCTACATTGGTGGGATATATCATGTGAAAACTACTTTGGAAATATTACTACTGATTATTTAGTATTAATAATTGACCAAGATTAACAACTAACGTGAGCATAAACCAACAAAAAAAGCAACTGAAATGAATAGCATGAATGAATAATGAATATTGCTTTTAGGTTACATTACATCTTTATGAATGTTTAATTGAGTATACCCTCATGCAAGGATATGTGCACAGTAGCCTACTGACTGCCGATAGATGTTTTGTTTGACCTAACTACTCCCTAATTTCATGAAAATGCATTTTACACAGCATTTACAACAAATACAAATGTATATATAGTTTTCAAAATGTCGGTATTCACTGGATCATATGTCCATGAGATTAGATCATAAAGTTGAGCTAACCTGAAATACTGATCTGCATATGAATACGTAATGATAACGAAACACTTAACCTAGGCTTTGTTGTTATGTCTGCAGAAGAATAGGCCATGGTATATTGAGTGTTTAGAGAAGGGAATCTACAGAATATACAATCAATGTTCAATTATTCAATATAGGTTGTTAGAGACATAAGTAGGGTGTAATGAACACGAAACCCATTTTTAAAGAGGACAGACATTGGCCTGTTCAAATACAACCTATGTTATGAATTTGGAAAGAGATTTACATTTCATTTTTAAATGAAGTGAAGATTATATTCACAGCAATTTACAAAATCAGAAAAAAAAATGAATGAATTACCAGCAAGTACACAAATGATTGAAAGAAAAACAAAGATTTCTTTCAAAATTGGTAATAAAAAAATTCCAAAGCAATAAATACCTATTTAATCTCATGGACTTTAGCTTGTTCTTTGATTTGAAAAAAAAAGTTTATTTATTTGGAGTGTTTTCATTTGAATGTGGGAACTACACTTCTAAATTGTTGCAAAATTATGAAAAAGACCAAAAACATATTGCAAATATATCATTCTACTCAATAATTGCGACCGTGTTTGTTTGTATGATGGAATCAAATCACAATCCTTTTTGGACCTTGTGTAGAAGGTTATATCCTAATTATCAGCAGTTAGTTAGAAACACAAAATGCCTATTAAAGATCTGAAATAACTGCAAAATAAACAAATATTTACACCTTGTATTAAAGCTTTTCCTCAACACTCAAAAAGAAAAAGACTTAAATATTTATTTTTGTAATAATAATAATAAGAAGAAGAAGAAGAAAAAAGACAACTTTCCCAGACAAGAGGTACAGAATAATCAGGATTATTTTTATTAATTCATCTTCAGTTTCAATAATATCATTACAGAAAAAAACATCCTCTTCATAATTTGTATACAGTAGTAATAGAATGCTGTGTCATTGCTTCAGTACAAGTGCTGGTCATAGTTTATAGAGTGTGCAGTGTGACACTGAGTTCAGTCCAGTGTTACCAATCACTCAGTACAAAGGCAGTTTAACAAAAACCTGCTTCTTCTTACTCAAATGAATCTTCTTACTCAAATGAATCTATCTGGGTTCGATTCATCCTCCTTGGGCAGGTGTCAGGACTTGTTCTGATGCTGCGTTCGTGTAATAATGGGTTTATTTTTAAATATCAGCTGCCGAAAAAACATAATATCAATTTAAAACTTCTTTTATTTAAATTTGATGTGGTCTACCACTGTATGAATTTGCAAAATAAGTCACCCTGTTCTTCCGTTTTTTCTTATACGACATGAACCCAGCATGAGCCACTGATTGACATATGGTGCATTTGAGGTAACTGGGAATTTTCTGATATCTGAGCTAGAGGAATAAATGAGAAGACAGTGTGATACCAGAGTCTGGACTTTGATTATTTATTTTTTTCGCACCACTTGTCACATAAAGAACTGTAACATTTAGTCAGATCAGAAGTCGTGCCCAGGTGCTGCCCCCCCGTCTCACGCCTGAAATGACACCTGCCTAAAGAGGAGGACACGCCCCCTTTTTATTGGCATGCAAGTGAGAGAAGGAGGGAAGAAAAAAAGGAAGATGAGATGTTAGGAAGGACAGGGGGGAGGGGTGGAGGAAGACTGCATCAGCCTATCAAGAGAGAGGGGTCAAAGCTCAGGAGTTCTCTATGGTGCTGCATTCAGTTCACACAGGAAATATAGAAGCTTCTGATCTTGACGTCATATCTTTTGGGGTTACTGAAGATCATCAGAGGCATCTAGGAAAACATCTTGGGTTGCGGTTTAATACACTCTTTCTCTTAGGAAGGTTCCTAATAACCCGGAAGAACCTCAGTGGCAGCAATGATAAGAGCCGTTTGAATTCTCTATAGCAAAGGAGCTTCAATGCTTCCCAAAATATATATTTTTAGCTTAGGATACGCTGAACAATCCTTTGCGAAATGAGAGAAAACTAACTCACAATTCCTTGTGGTTGCAACATTTACTGTAAGGTATGGCACCATTCGACCAATCAGAAACAACCAATATTGACCGACAAACACAGATCATTTAAGTTGTAAAATACCTATGTTTTTAAGTTTGTCAAGTTAAACTAAAAAGTGAGGGTTTTTTTTTTTTTTTTTTTTTTTAAATTGGAGTTTAAACGTTGTAATGAAGTGATATATTTCTCTTTCGGCCGCGTTTAAAAGCCTGCTTGAAAAAATATGATAAAAACGGTGAGGTATCTAGATGCGTTGCTAGTCCATATATAGAAACATTTTGTAGTTTTCCCACCCTCTTAGGAACATTGTCTTTTCCTTAACCCCATGAAAGATCAAAGAAAAGTGTTTAGGAAAGACATAGGACTAGCTTCTTTTTTTTTTAAATGTTTGACCACTTTAAGTGGAAAAATAAATTAAAATAAGTACCATCATTTTGTACTGTTATTCCAATATGACCTGAATGCAGCATTTTACCTTTGACCTTGTGTATTTGTGTTGCACTGATAGGAAGAATCAGGAGAGCTAGAGGAGTTAAGGTATGGTGCATAGGTGAATGCTTGGGACTCACAGTTTGCATATGATGCATTTGAACGGTCCTTGTTAATTGGTAAACCATTGAAGTGTTTGATCAGCAGGATACAGCAGCTAACTGGCTCAAGCTAATAGTAAACTTTGATTGTGGGCTAAATATCAAACATGTTTTCTTTATTTCTCAGTGATGCTCAGACTATGTACAGTATATTGAGAGACAGCGTTAAACTGTTTGGATTATTTTGACTTTAACGAGCACCTTAACACAGTTGTGGTAGGAAAAACACTAGTTGTGTAGTTTCCGAGCACCTGAACGCGACACCCTGCTTTCAGGTGATGTCGGGTCGGAGTTTTCTCTGAGTTGGGAAAACGGTCTATCACAACTCACTCAAGCAGCACTTTCACTCATGTTGTTGTGGTTTGAAAAAGATGGAGGCGGCTGATTGGCCAAACAGAAGCCAGCCTTTGAGACTAACCGGCACATATTCATTCATCTTTGGCTATACTTAAAAAGGACATATTTTTCTCTGTAGTCAACAAATCACATGAAAAGTCCCAAACCAGTTATAAATGAATCCTATGGTGGAATATCATGTGTGCATCAAACCCATAATATATTCTTCCTGCCATGGAGCTCCTTTTTGTCCAAAATCGACAAAAAACACATCGCTGAGTCACACTTTTGAACAAGTGAAGTCCATTTGTTTTCACCTTGAACACATGGTCTATGGTTCATTTTGACTCAATCACACAGATATGATACATATTTGAATTCTCCATGGCAAAAAAGAAGTCCCCAACATGTCATGTTTGCTCAAATTCTAGAGTAGCATGTAAATAACTATTATGGTACATTTTGTTTGTTTTATGAATTTTGACTTGTATGTGTAAAGTCTCTCAGAGCACCTTAAAAAGCAATCTATAAATATAACATTATTATTATTATTATAAGTGCCAAGCTGTTTTTGTAAATGCACTATTCTGTCCCTTTAAAAAAAAATTGTTATACATTTTGGTAAATACGACCAAAGTAAAATAACGAGAGTAATAAAAAAATATGAAGCGTTCTGCTCTCTCATCTGTGTTTATTAATATGAAGTTAAAGCCAGCAGCTGGTTAGCATTAGCTTAGCATAATGACTAGAAATATGACAATTCTGGTCATTTTGATGTGATTTGTTGATAATAGAAAAACATAGAATTTCACAACAATATCCTCCAATAGTTGTAGAGATGCAAATACCACAAAGTTTTTATATTTTTTACTGCAGTTTTGTGGTGTCAACTATGATGTTGTGTAAATCAAACACCACAAGTGGTAAGGTTAGACTAATACTTTATACTGTATGTGGCTCACCTGACCTATGACAGAAGATCAGTGAAGTCATATTTCTTTTTGATCGTTTCTGTGAGTCATGAAAAGTTTTAATGTCTCAGTATGATTAAAACAAAATTAAAAACAAGTTATCATTGTATTTGTTGGCAAAAATAATGTTATATATATATACTGTACTGGCACAAACTATATCAGCAGCTTCAAAAAAAGATGTCTTTATACGCTCATATTTCTGTCAATAGTGTAGGTCGGGGGAGGCGTAGTGATACTGCAGGGAGGGGGTTTCAATATGGTGTTCTAGAAAAGAAAAGAGGGTGAGAGAAAAGGAAAAGAAGGAGGTGGAGGAAGGAGTCTCTACGTCTCTATATCTACGAGGGAAAAATATCCAACGCACAAAGCAAATGAAAAGGAGAGAAGAGGGGATGATTACTACTAAGATGATAATATTCAATCAGAACCATGATAATAATAATAATAATAATAAATAGAATATTAATTAACAATATTAATAATCATTATCATCAGGATAATAATATTACAGAATAAATCTCGTATTTTATATATATATTTTTTCTCTCCATTGAACAGTGATCTCCTCAGAGCAGACCAATGAGGTTTCAGCCTCCGCTGGCTCCGATTGGCTGTTGCATATGACATCACAGCTAATGGCGACCAGGTAGACATGCATCACTTCCTGCCCCCGCCCGTTTCCTGTCCTGACAGGAAGTCCTGGCACTGCCATGGTAATCGGTAGCGAGTGACATAGAAGTCTGGGGAGGACATTTGCTGGCGTTACAGTTGGATGAACGTTCCTAACATGCTAATATAATGCTAGTATATCGTACCTGCATCATAGCCGTCCGATGACCATGACGTCGACGACCTCTCCCTTATGCAGCTCCACATACTGCTCTGTTTTGGGAGGTAACATCAGCAGACCGTTGGCGCTACGCATGGACATTAGCCTGCTGGATACCTGGTTGCCTGGAGACGGAGAGGAGGATTATATGTGAGACTGAATGTAGGAAAGAGTGGTGCAGGAATGAGTCATTTAACCTAGAAATTAGTTAGCACTTTCAGGTTCCCTTGTGTGTTGTGTTTTTGGTTGGATGCCTGCAATATGATCTGTGGTTAACACAAGCTGATGAGTTAGCCACCCTTAGCTTAGCGATGGTGACGTGAAGTCATGCCATTGTAAGGCAGTTAGCTTAGCCCAGGGATGGGCAACTTGGATGGTGGTGGGGGCCGGACACACACACACACACACACACACACACACACACACACACACACACACACACACACACACACACACACACACACACACACACACACACACACACACACACACACGCACACATTCACACTCTTACTCTCTCACACACAGACGCACACAGACACACACACACACACTCTCTCTATCTCTCGCACACGAACACACACACACACACACACACACACACACACACACACACACACACACACACACACACACACACACACACACACACACACACACACACACACACACACACACATTATTAACACACACACATTATTAACAAATATACTAAGTCTGACATCTTCATTGACATTTTACAATCTTTCAGGGAACACCCTCTAAGAAGCTCACTAAACAAATATCAGTTCACAGAAATGTTATTTAATGTTTACAAGTGGCATGTTTGTATTGAACAGGTTATTTAACAGTGGAATACAACTATTTTAAACTATTGGAAAGCACGAAAACTGAGAAAATGCGTCGTGCATTAGATTAAAAATTACATATGATATCGGTACGCAGCTCGCGAGTAAACTAGGAGATCTAGTGACGTATCAGACTTACAATAATTACAAATAGAGCAGAGGGAGAGTGTTTGGGGGATATAACAGATACATTGTTAGAAAAATTCCAGAGTAATGGCTATTTTATGATATCATTGATATTTTTGTGCTCCAAGTGGTGCAGTCGGTCAGGCGCGCGGGTACTTATAAGAGCAGGTAACCTGCCAGAGTGATGCCGAGGGTGTGAGTCAAGCCGTCACCTGAGAGTAGAACTTTAACCTGCATTCAAAAGGAATCATGATCTGGCTTACCACTTACTGAGGAAGCAGACCCGAAAGGTGTGTTTCAGTGGAGCATTTGAGGTCATTTCCATAATCCTCCAAGGGGGGGCCAGAATATTGATGATGCACACAAGCCATATGCATGGACATCACGGGGTAATATGGTCATATGCCTTTGTTATTGCTTTGGTCCACAAAACTCGGGGAGATTCAGAGAGAGAAGAAGAAAGAGCGCAGAGGTGTGAGGCGCGTAGCTAGCGGGGTCTCGAAGGCGCGGCTGTCTTGTAAACAGGAGATCCTGGGCCAAATTCCAGCGGTGGCCTCTGTTGTTACAGGAAGAAGGGTATCTCGTTGATTATCGCAGCCTCCGAATTAGGGGGTATAGGTTATGGTTGGGCGTACAAGCGTGAGAGTGAGGCGATTCCCCTCTAATACTTGACCGTGACAGGATGCAACATACAGATCAACATATTGTTATTGGACGTTATGAATACATTATTTCACAGCCTGAAAGAACAGGGCTAGAGATAAAAGAGAAAGAAGTGAGTTTCAAAGTAAGGAGGTAGTAATAGTACAAAAGGCGCTGTGGCTTAGTGGTAAAGGCCTGGTCTCCCGGTAACAGGCAGATCGTGGTTCAAATCCAGCAGGGTGCCTCTTTGATACAGAGATTATCTCCAAATTACAGGACTAGCCTAATCAAAAGTTAGTTCAATCCCACCACAAAAGTGGCCTTCTCATTGGTCTTTCAAACCAAAGTTACGTTTATATTCCAGAGTTACGTCACCCAACTCAAATCCAATTTCCTTTTTAGAAAAAACGGGCCAAAGCTGAGTGTGTTTGATCTGTACTTTTTCAATCTGCTATGCCACTGTTGTCTTCTTGCAACACAAATGATGCGAAGGAAGGNTTGTATTGAACAGGTTATTTAACAGTGGAATACAACTATTTTAAACTATTGGAAAGCACGAAAAATGTGTGTGCATCAAGATTAACCATTAAGATGACATAAACAGACATTAGTTGTCTAACTTGAACCTAAGACCCTTGTAGCCTGCCTCTGCTGACACACAATAAGGGGAGTGTTAACACAGACACCTGTCAACTCTGTGCTGTTCCTCAGCGCCACTCCCCCTCCCTCCCGCTGAAATTATGAATGAAAAGTGTATAGTAATCATAGATAACACAGAAGGGTCCGTGACAATTTGTTTTCATTTGATTTCAAATAAACAAAGTCTTGGCTTTCAGAGTATTAAACTTGTTTCGCCAAATTCAGATGATAAATACAGCTTTTAAGCTTGTAACGGCATAATTACAAACGGTAACTTGACGTCACAGCAGGCATAACAACAGCCGGTGTTCCTTGTGAGTGTTTCCCCGGGAAACAAACACAATACACAACGCGTCACAGATTATTTCGCGGTATTTGGCTGCCGAACGAAATCATGTACGCAGCTCGCGACGTAAAAAATAAATTAATAAAATAAATTTTATTATTTTTAATTAATTACGTTGTTTATAAATTAATCTGAGGGCCCCCGGACCACCATTTGCCCATCCTTGGTTCAGCCTATAGCTGTTAGCTTCTACTTATGGTGATTGCATTAACTCTCCATAAACCATAAAAGTGGTGTTAACGATGTTATGAAGGAATTATCCTGTTGAACAAAAAGTGTAGGTATCATAAATGTGTTTACCACAGAGTTTATTTTCTGCAATATTCCAAAATCCAGAGAGAAAGGGAAAATACCATTGCTTTTGGACGAGGGAGGTCTTCCGATGCTAACTTAGGGTCGGCTAACATCCTATTAGGGCTGGGTGATATATAAAATATAAATATTTTTTTAACCAAATACGTCGCTATCGCCATGATATTGTAAGACATTTACACTTTCAGTAATGTTCTTATAAAGGCTAAGTGGCGAAAGGAAAAACAGGAAACGGGTAAAACAGTCTGGTAAAATCGCAAAATGATATCGCTCTGCTGTAATGCAATGTAATGTAAAACACATTTACGCAATCTTACTATCTCTGAACTCTAAGACAATATCGAGTCTCAAAGTATTAAGAAATGTATATATTGGCCAGCCCTTAGAAGGATATGTATCATAAAATGATACACATCCCACAGTGTTGGGTTTGGTACACCTGATGATATGGCTGTGTGTATATGTGTGCATATGGGTATCTGCGTGAGTGTGTCCTTTGCCCACCTGTGCTCTGTGCCCAGGGTAGGGGCTCCTGGTGGTGCCAGGTCAGAATACAGCGGTGGTACTCTGGTCTGGGATCCAGCTTCACATCACAGGAGAGCTGAAATACACAAACATAATGTTAACATATTTCATACAGATTTGATGTGGACCAAGAGCACAAATGAGGGTTTGAATCAAATGAAAACATTGTTGTCCAACAACAGTGCTTGCAAGTGTATCACATTGTATACATTTTGTAGGTTACTGTTAAAGGCTTTGGCTGGCTAGCGTTGGCCAATGGGTTCCGAGATGCATTTTCATTTTGGACAGAAGGTTTTCAGAGACTGAATGTCACATAATAAGGTGATAAGCATTTATGAAACTTTCGAATACTGACTATACTTCGGCTTTAAAAAGTGCAATTACTAAACTGTGCAATAATCACACCACTATGGACATCATTACTGTATTGCACTGTATATTTGGCACAATACTTTGATTTTCAGCATTAATATAATTATTCTTATTAATACAGTGTTTCCGCCAGACCAGGGCTGAGAGGGCGTCCACCCCGAGAGCGGGGGGTTTGAATTTTGACTTGTGCCGTCCCTTATAGATACTGTCTTTTTACGTTAGTGAGCTGGATCATTTGGCTCGGCTCTCTTAAAGCGCCGGCTGTTTCGGCTCCCAAACGGCTCTTCATGTTACCACAGTTTACCACGGAGCCTCAGTTTCGCCGCTGCGCTCTGGTGCTCACAGCTCACGCACGTGCTCCACTAAAACCCCCCCCGCTCATCGCGTCCAAATCGCGCACGTTCCGTGTTGTCCTGTAGCAGGCACCGTCGATGTCGGGGAAACGATCTTCAATACTCCGAAAAGAATCCCACCATACTCCTTTGCCCCTCCAACAGAGGGATGTCCTTGTCCTGTTTCCTTTTCAAGTGATAAAAACTCTCGATCTTCTCTCGAATTATTAATATTTTCGGACGCCCTCGGCTCACGTTCAGGGCGTCCCGAGCTGAATAAGGCCGTCAAATGACGGCAAGACGCCCCCCTGGCGGAAACGCTACACTCTTATTTATATTAATATAATTAAGAGTGTGTGTGTGTGTCATGTGTGAGTGTGAGTGTGAGTGTGTGTGTGTGTGTGCATTACCCTAGCTTTAATTATTGTAGGTCTAGGATCCAGAATGCCTTGCATCTTCCTCAGAGCAGGAATCACAAACAGGTTACATGTCACCACTGCAGACACTGGGTTACCTGCAAAACAACAACACTGTGTTACTAAGGCAACTGTACACAGGAAAAACATGCAAACTACAATCATCAGTCGAACGTTGATACCATTTATATTGGGGCTTAAACAATAGTGTCCATCAAAGTATTATAATAATATCTACTCAATAAAAATGTTAGAACTGTATAATGGTTTGAGTGAACTGCTGATACCTCTTTAAACTAGTGGTACATAAAGACACATCCCTGTGTGTGTATTGTACTTGTACTCACTTTAGTAAATGTGTATTATGGTCATAACTAACACAGTGGACCTTGTACAGGACAGTAACATACTTGTCGACGATTTTCAGAAAACTGCCAGTTGTCATTTGTGCAACACATCAGAGGAAGCATAAGCAAATCAGATCTCGTTGGGGGTGCATCTTATTTGCAAAGATATACAGTATGTAGGCAAATCACATTATTGCCAAACCATTGCGAAAAAGAGGCTGTGGACTACTATGGGCTTCAGTTTTCTCATCTAAAAGCTCAAATGGGTCTATTTGACTACACATGAAATACAGTGCCACACGATGAGTCTTACATTAAGTGAGACAGGGCTAACTGTACATTGCACATTAAATGCCAAGTTTGATCGTTTTAAATAAAAGAAATGTGGCACGCTCCCTTATTGCGGACACAACATGCCTTCCTTTAACAACCTTTAAATACATTATGGCAACAAAAGAGTTGTACAGAGGAACAAAGTATAAGGCTCAACTTTGTTTAACGGGAACGAGCTATCCTAGTCTTAGTTCAAGCAGTGGTGCAAGAAGTATTCTGATCCTTTACCGAGTAGAGGTACTAATACAACACTGTAAAAGTACTCTCCTGGATTGAAAATGTTACATCAGTAATTGTAAGTATAATCAGAAAAATGTTATTGTATTAAAGTACTCAATGCACAAAAAACAATATGTTTTTTGTATTAACTGTTTTTTACAGATCATATTTTATCAAATCTTTGTATGCAAACATCTTAATTTGCAAAGTCCATTCTCATTAAAGCTGTCATAGTATTTTTGACTTCTCAAAATGATCAATGACGCTGTAAATAAATAGTGGAGTAGAAGTCAAATGTTGCAGGAAATAAAGTACAATGGGGCAAAAAAAGTATTTAGTCAGCCACCAATTGTGCAAGTTCTGTAATTTCCATACTAGGTATACCTCAACTATGAGAGAAAAAATGAGAAGAAAAAAAATCCAGAAAATCACATTGTTGCTGGTATTTTGGCCCATTCCTCCATGCAGATCTCCTCTAGAGCAGTGATGTTTTGGGGCTGTCGCTGGGCAACATGGACTTTCAACTCCCTCCAAAGATTTTCTATGGGGTTGAGATCTGGAGACTGGCTAGGCCACTCCAGGACCTTGAAATGCTTCTTACGAAGCCACTCCTTCGTTGCCCGGGCGGTGTGTTTGGGATCATTGTCATGCTGAAAGACCCAGCCACGTTTCATCTTCAATGCCCTTGCTGATGGAAGGAGGTTGTCACTCAAAATCTCACGATACATGGCCCCATTCATTCTTTCCTTTACACGGATCAGTCGCCCTGCTCCCTTTGCAGAAAAACAGCCCCAAAGCATGATGTTTCCACCCCCATGTTTCACAGTAGGTATGGTGTTCCTTGGATGCAACTCAGCATTCTTTCTCCTCCAAACACATCTAGTTGAGTTTTTACCAAAAAGTTATATTTTGGTTTCATCTGACCATATGACATTCTCCCAATCCTCTTCTGGATCATCTAAATGCTCTCTAGCAAACTTCAGACGGGCCTGGACATGTACTGGCTTAAGCAGGGGGACACGTCTGGCACTGCAGGATTTGAGTCCCTGGCGGCGTAGTGTGTTACTGATGGTATTGTTACTTTGGTCCCAGCTCTCTGCAGGTCATTGACTAGGTCGGTCCCCCCGTGTGGTTCTGGGATTTTTGCTCACCGCTCTTGTGATCATTTTGACCCCACGGGGTGAGATCTTGCGTGGAGCCCCAGATCGAGGGAGATTATCAGTGGTCTTGTATGTCTTCCATTTTCTAATAATTGCTCCCACAGTTGATTTCTTCACACCAAGCTGCTTACCTATTGCAGATTCAATCTTCCCAGCCTGGTGCAGGTCTGCAATTTAGTTTCTGGTGTCCTTTGACAGCTCTTTGGTCTTGGCCATAG